TTGTTTAACTTTCCTTTCCTCATTCACTTGCTTTGGCACATTTTAAAAATATCAGTGTTCCATATATGTATGTGTCTATTTCTCGACTACCTATTCTGTTCTACTGATTTATATGTTTATCTTTTTGGCAATACCAAACTCTCTTGATCACTGTAGCTTCATAGTGTTTTTGAAATCAGATAGGGTAAGTTTTTCAACTTTGTTCTTTTTTAAATTGCTTTGGCCAGTCTACGACATTTTCATTTTGATATGAAGTTTAGGATCAGTTTGTCAATTTCTATAAAAAGCCTGCTGGAATTTTAGTTAACATTTTGTTAATTAGGATTGATTTATGGATTAATTTGGAGAATTATCATGATAACATACTGTCTTCTAATCCATGAATATCATCTACCACTCCATTTATTTAGTTGTCTTTACTTTTTTCTCAGTAATTTTGGTAATGTTCAATGTAGAGCTCAAGAAAGTCTTTTAGTAGATTTATTTCTAGGTATTTTATGTTTTTTGGCATGATTGTAAATGGAATTATAATTTTAAAATTTCACTTTCCAATTTTTTGTTGCTGGAGTAATAAGAATACTATTGATTTTTGCATATTAACCTCGTATTTTATAAATTTATTTGTCCTAGTAGTAGTTTTTTAGATTTACTAGGATTTTCTATGTAAGTCTTCATATCTTCTTTAAATACAGCACAATTACTTCTTCTATTCAGTATTTATTACTTTTCTTTCTTTCTTTCTTTTTTTGGTCTTATTGCAAAGTCCAGGATCTCCAGTACAATTAAAGATCTCCAGTTGAATAAAAGTGGTACCAGTGGGCATCCTTGTCTTTGTACTGATCTTAAGGGGAGATAGTTCAATCTTTCATCATTAGGTATGATGGTAGCAGCAGATTTTATGTGGATATCCTTAACCAGATTGAGGAAGTTCCCTCCTACTGCCAGTTTTCTGAGAGTTTTTATGAATGGCTGTTGAATTTTGTCATATCTAGAAATGATATTTGGTTTTTCTTCATTTTGTTAATACACATTTTTCAAATGGTAAACTAATTTTGTATTTCGTGGGTATACCCTACTTGGTGATGATATATTAACCTTTTTCTTTATTGTTGAATTCTTGTCTAATGTTTTTGTTAAGGAATTTTACATCTGTATTTGTCTATAATTTACTTTTTTGTCATTTTTGGAGTCAAATTTGGCATTAGAGTTATTCTGGCCTCATAAAACAAGATGGATAGTGTTCCCACTTCCTCTATATTTTCTGACAAAGTTTGTGTAAAATTCGTTTTATTTATTCCTTGGCGTGTTTGGTAGAATTCACTTGTGAAACTATCTAGGCCTGTAGTTTTCATTTTGGAAAGGATTTTGATCATTGTTTCAATTTCTTTATTAGATATAAAAATATTCAGATTTTTTTATTTCTTTCATCAGTTTTGGTAAGTCACTTTCCCCTCTCCCTTCCACCCCCCTGCCAAAATTTGTTCACTTAATCTAAGCTGTAAATGTGTTGGCATAAATTTGTTTATAATATTCTTATATTATCTTTTTAATGTATGGTGATAATCTATGGTGATAACCCCTGTTTCATTCTTATATTAGTGAATTGTGTTCGCCCTCCTTTTTCTGGGGGGGGATTTTTTTTGGTGGTTTCTCTAGAGATTATAATACACATACTTAACCTTTTACAGTCTGCATATTGTTAATATTGGACCACTTCATTTAACAATGATATGATTCCCCTTACCCACTCCACACCATTCTTTATGTTATAGTTGTTATATGAGTTATATCTGCATTGAAGACCCCACCAGACAACTTAGCTTTAAATTGTCATTTGTATTTTGAAGAATTTAAGAGAGTAAACTGTTATATTAATTTGGATGTTTGTCATTTCCAGTGCTCTTCATTCACTGCTTAGGATCCAATTTTCCTCTGGTATTTTTTTCCCTTCAGTCTGAGGAATTTTCTTTAGCAGATCTTATATAGTTCAGGCCTTCTGGCCACAATTTCTCTTACTTTTCTTTTATCTAAAACGTCTTGTTTTTACCCTTATTCCTAAAGGATAGTTTCATTATGTATAGAATTCTGGGTTGACAACCTTTTTCTTTTCTTTTTAAAATTTTTTATTTTTATTGAATCATAATCGATTATACATATTTTGGGGGTTCAACGTTGACATATGTTGATCGAATCAATATTATTAGTATGTATATTGTTACAGATTGTACTTATTCTTTATGCCCCTGTCCAATCTCTCCCAATTCCCTTCTCCTTCCCACCTACCCCCTTTAATTACCCTAGATTTCTTCTCTCCTACTGAAAGAGTAATGGTTACTCTGTTGATTTCTTGCCTAGATGATCTGTCCAGTGCTGACAGGTGTATTCAGGTCCCCCAATATTATTGTAGAGCAGATACTTTTTTCTGTCACTCTGGAATGGGCTTTGTGGAGAGAGACATCCTCTTCTTTTCTTTGGTCTCTACTGATGACTCTCCTTGTGTCAGTGCACTGCAGTGGCTGGCAGACCATCTGCATGGTGGTGGTGGCATCTAGCTGCTTTCACAGCAGCCGTGGTTATTGTGGTGGCTGTGGTGGGCCACACATGGAGGTGATTTTTTATCATGCTCCTTGGGACTGGTGGTGTGCCTTGTTGTGGGTGGGGGAGGTCCAGTCCCTGGCTCCATACTGCTGGTCCCTGGTCGGGCCCTGTGGAGCTGGCAGTGTGCCTGGGCTGAAACTATTTTTTGTCCTTTGCTTCTAAAATGGGGGAACTTCCTGTGGGAACCAGTACTTGAGCTGTGTGGTTTAGCAATTGCTGCTTTGCTGCTGTTTCCCTAGGGAAGGCTTTTTGCACAGCTCAGGTTTTCATGGTTGACCTTATAGGTACTTCCAGCTCTCAAGAGATCAGTGCACCTGGGTTGTGTAGAAACTCTGATCTGGGCCTGAATCTTTTCATCAAACTGCACTCCATGCAATTCTATATTCCTGACCAGTCTCCTCTGAGCAGTCCTTCACTGATTGGGGTGCCAATCAGCTGCCCTTGCTGTGCCCCAGTGTTCCCCCAGTGGGCCTGTCTCCCCTACTGCCTGTGCTGCAAATACTTCCCATGGGACAGGCTGTGCGCTGATCCCTTGCGATGACTCACCAACCTCTGAGTGGCTCCTTTTTTTTAGTTGTTGTGGCTCCTTGCTCCTATGTGGGTCTACAGGAACCCTATTAGTGGTCTTGCTGTCCTGGGGGTCACCAAGTCCCTCTTTTCCCCTGCCGCCTCCAAGCAACTTCATCTGAAGGGCACAGCTGCGGTTTTTGCTGGCTCCTGCTCCATGCACTCAGCAGCTCCAGCCTTAAAGTGGCCATAGCACAAAATGGTTGGAGCAATTTTTGCTTTCTCTCATCGTGGTTTTTCCAACCTTCATGCACCCCGTTGGTGTCTACTACTCTTCCCCTGAGCTCTAGCAGCCCCCACTTGGCTGTTGTTGCTTTTTTATAGTTGTAAATTGGTTGATTTGTGGGAGAGAGTGATGCTGGGGACAGTCTATTCTGCCATCTTGTCTAGAAGCCCCAACAGCCTTTTTTTTTTTATTGCATTTTAAAGAAGTATTTCTGTCTTCTGGCCCCCATAGCATCTGATAAAATATTTGCTGTCATTTGAATTGTTTTTGTCCTTCTGTATGTAATGTTGTTTTTCCTCTGGCCACTTCCAAGATTTTTTCTTTTCTTTTTTGTTTCTAGCAGTTTGCTTTTGATGTATCTATGCATGACTTATTTTGAATTCATCCTGTTTGGATTTGCTCATCTTACTGAATCTGTAAATGTATGTCATTTCCCAAATTTGGAAGATTTGGGCCTTGTTTATTTAAATATGTGTTCTGTTCCAATTTCTTTCTCTTATTTCTAGGTCTCCAATTACATATACATTAGATCTTTTATTATTGTCCTACACATCCATGAAGCTTTTTGTTGTTGTTTTTTTAAAAAAACTCTGTGCTACTCAGTGAATAACTTTTGTCAATCTGTCCTGTGTCACCAACTCTTTACTTGTCATCTCCATTCAGCTGCTGAGCCTATCTAGTGAATTCTTTTATTTCTGATATTGTATTTTTCAGTTCTAAAAATTCTGTTTGGTTCTTTTTTATATTTTCTGTTTCTCTGCTGAGAATTTGTGTGCTGAGACATTAAAAATGTAAGCGGAAATCCTCTGAGAAGCAAAGTGCCTTATTTCAGCAGTCTTCTAGGACAAAGATTAGTGTTCAGGATTGCCAGTGGTAGAAGATGTAGAGAATAAGCAGGCTCTCAAGAAATTTTAGGACCAAATGAGCTAAACCCAAGACAAAGACAGACAATAGAAAAATATGCCCAGATGGATCTCATATTGGAGTTAGCAGACAAGGACTTCAAGATAGCTATGATTAGATGGAGAAAGCAGATAACTGTGTTAAGCACACCTAAAGATAGTTTTAAATTTTATATGTTTCACTTTCAAGTTTAGAATTCCCATTTGGTTCTTTTTTTATATAGCCCAATTCTATGTGGAAATTCTTTGTCTTGTCGATTTTCTCCATCTTTTTCTTTTTTATATGTGCACTTGAAAAGAATATCTATTCTCTGCTTATTGAGTGTAGTGTTCTATGCATGTCAATTATGACAAGTTTGTTCAGAACTTGCTCTGTTCATTGATTTTCTTGCCGATTTGTTCTATTAGGATAAGGGGCTCCTGAGTTTTGGTAATGTTTTGTTTCTTGTTACTGGAGCTGGTTATACAGTTGTATTTACTTCGGGAAAATCTATTGAGCTATTTTCACTTATAATTTATGCACTTTCTCTATGTATATTTCAATAAGACATTTAAAAAGTATCCAAGAGACCATTTCCTTTTCTCTCATTCTTTTTAAAGAAAAATATTATTTTGCCATTTACCAATCAGAAATTGTAATAGTCAATGGTAACAAATATTTTGCTTATGAGAATATCTTTAATGCAAAGACACTGTTTTAATAACAGGAACAATTAGAGAAAGAGAAGCAACAGAATGATGAAAGACCCATGAGTGATAAAATCTTTGAAAAGAAACGTAAGTAGTTTTCCTGTGTCTTCCCCACTCAGTTACAAAATTAATGTTGCATGCATCCTGGTATTCTGAAAGACAATGCTGAGTTTTTAATTTGATATGAAAAGTTGCTTCACTTTCTTTCATTTTTCAGAAGTTGTTTTCAAAAATTGGCTGCTTAATGTGGTACAGATGTTAGAAATACATGAATAAATGGTAGGAACCAGTGTGGAGGTTCATATTCTTGAAAAGGAAAGCTTAAAGTTTAATAGCAGCTGTAAGATTGTGAAATTGATCACTGAATAACAAAGACTGAAATATGTAAATATATAAAGTAAGAATATTTGGGAAAGAGTGCTGCCTAGCTAAGGATGGTGATCCGTATTCTCTGTGTTGTCTTGTATATTTATGGAGATTAGTAAGGACTCAGAGGAAATGATAGAACTTAAAACAGAGTTTATTTTAGGTAGAGACACTAAGACACCAACGCAAAGTCTTCCCAAGAACATCCCCATTTCTGTTCCTGGACCCTCTTCTGTCACCCCATCAACAAGTAAGAAATAACCTCTTTATGCTTCTTTTATAAAAATTTTTTCCTTTGATAAAAATTAATTTCAGGGGAAGTCACTCTATTAGATCAGGTATATTATTCTGAAGTACTTTTTGCCTTTTATCTTTAGTTGTTTTGGTAGTTCTTAATGGGTATTATGGGTACGAGACACTCCAATCAGCTCAAACTAAGGAAAGAAAGCTAGACCCATCTGTGTTTTACTGAAAATGGTGGTAGTTGGGGAGGGAATGAGGATTGGGTCAGCTAAGGACTAACTGAATGCATTTTCCCTTTTTCTGCTTATTGCTCTAGGCAAAGAAATCAAGAAATCTAAACTGATTCGAAGCCAGTCTTTTAATAATCAAGCTTTTCATGCAAAATACGGCAACTTAGAGAAATGTGCTAGGTATGATCTGTCATCAATTCAGTTTAAAACTTTATTTTATAGGCACACATCTTTATTTATGTAAAATATTTACATTATTATAAAAATCAGAATCAATTTTGAGTTTTTTATAGGCCAATAATTTGTCAGTTTTCTTCTGTAAAGATCATGATATTTAAAAATAATAGAATCTACCAATTTGCATAAAAATAGGTATCTTGGCATTACAGGAAGAATGTTGCCATGACACTATATAATAGTATCATGGATCCATATACCATTTTAGGAGGAAGGTGGTGCTGTATCATGTATGCCACTTAACTTCTAAATGGGTATGAGGATGCCCCATTTGGTAAATGGCTATGGACATCCATTTGCTAATAATATTATTTCTGTCTATAAAGAAGCCACTGGCATGTTCATATGTGAATTCTCCTGAGAAAAGATGAATGTCTAGTTTCTCCTTTAGCTGAGAAGATAAAATTATAAAGTTAAGATTGAGAATCAGCATAAATTAAATTACTATGATTTTTTATATGGCTATACACATATAGTATTTAACAAATGCATATCAACTGACAAGCAAAGTGATTTTAAGAAAACATAAATATCTTTAAGAGGATTCATTTATTATTCATTTATCCAGATAAATAATATATTATGAACAAAAACATGTTTTTCTTTTATTAAAGATAGCTTATTCCAGAATTTCAGCTGTATTTTTGAGCATTATCAATAGATCCATCTAGAGTTCCTAGCCAATAGGCTGATCTCAAGATGGACAAAAGGGATTATAACTAAAGCTAAGTTATTTCCAAGAAAATTTTACCCATCTTACCTGTCTTGGCTGAGCATCAAAAGAAAAACTGTAATTCTGATGAAGCAAAAGTTTAAGGAAATGCTTTTTTAAAGTTATAGTCAAAGTAAGTATTGTGAGGCATGGAAAGTAAAAAACAAATGAGAAATTAAGAGCAGTAAGTGTGTTTCATAAGAAGTAGAAGAAAGCATTAAAAAAGGTGTTAGATGTCTGACAGTGAAAAAAGCATTTTCTTGTACTTTAAACTAAATCATGTTCTCTTCTAGTAAAAGTTCTACAGCAGGATATTCACCTTCTGCCTCAGGGTTAGCAAAGACTTCTGTGCTTTCACTAACTGGTAAGTAATAACTGAAGCTCTTCAAAAACTAGCTAAATTTGTTTAAATGACCTATTTCTATATTTCTAAATACAGTATTTTTCCTAAATTTATATGTTTATCAAATCCCTAAGAAATTAAACTTTCCCCTAGCAATTGAGAAAATACTTGTCTCTGTTATTTTGTTTTCATTGTGCCAAGACCCAGAGTTTAATGGTTTTAAAAGAGAAGAAGGACAAAATGGTAGGACAGGTTTTACCATGTTCTGATGGCCTGCTGAAGCAGACAGAAAATTTTTGCAGTAATTTTTAAGTAAGTTAATAACAATAGGATTTCACTGTAAATCATCTATAGATAAACATTTACAGTATTATATATTTGAAAGTTTGTGCCAGTGGTCAGCAAACTTCTGTGAAGGTCCAGATAGTAAATATTTTAGGCTTTGTTGGCTAAATTGGTCTCTGTCACAATTACATTGCTGGCGAAAATGCAGAAAAAAAAAACAAAAGAAAAACTCTGCACAGCAATTTAGCAGTTTCTTATGAAGTTAAATATACACTTGATATATGATCCAGCAGTTCCACTCCTAGACATTTACTAAGAAGAAATTAAAATGTATGTCCACACACATACTTGTACATGAATGTTCATACTTGTATATGAATATTCATACTTGTTCATGAATATTTTATTAGTAAGAGTCAAAAACTGGAAAAAAAATCCAAACAGATACTATGAGTAAACAAATTTTTGCATATCCATACAATACCATTCAGAAATAAAAAGGAATGAAGTATTGATATACACAACATGGATGAATCTCAAAATAATTATGCTGAATGAAGGAAGCCAGACAAAAAGAGTGTGATTTCATTTATATAAAATTCTAGAAAACACAAACTCATCTCTAGTGACAGGATGCAAATCAGTGGTTTAGCGAGGGAGGGGGAGGGAGGAAAAGGAGGGATTGCAGTGGGCACAAGGGACCGTTTGGTAGTGATGGGTGTGTGTACATCTTCATATGGCAATGGCTTCACGGGACTGTGCGTATGTCAAAACCTTAACTGTGTACAGCTTGTTGTGTATACATTATACCTTCATAAAACTGATGTAAAAGAGAAAGAGTCAGCTATCACTAACCTTTTCTTCTTTCCTTAGATTAACATCTTAGTATATTCAGTATGTCTGACTCTGCATGTATTACTTTCAGATGACTCATTCCGGACTCGTAATGCCAGTAGTGTTACAAGTTCCTATTCTAATAGCCCCTTACCAAGTACCTCCCGTGGGACAGGTAACTCAGTTGATCCGAAGAGCAGTGGAAGTAAAGATACACAACCACGGAAGGCTACCTTGTAAGTAATCAACTGAGGTACTGCTCAGTGTATTTTCCTACTCTTTTCTCAGTGCATTTCCCTTCCTAGTTCAATACGAGGGTACTTCAAAAAGTTCGTGGAAAAATAGAATTAAAAGATAATATAAATCTTTCTATGAACTTTTTGAAGTACGCTTGTACTTTCCAAAGAATAGAAGATGTCTACAATGAGGGACTGTTATAAGTTAAAAGGTGTTATTGTCACCTGTGACTGTTATGCTAGTGGATATAAGATGATTTGCATATGGCAAAGACAATGTGACCTTAGGGAATCAACAGGAAACATTTAAATGGCTTCCACTAATAGCTGATATCTACTATTTTTTCTGTGAAATACTTGCATTCAGGAAATTTATGTCTAAGGAGACACCAAGTGTAAATGTATCCTTTTAAAACATCTAGCTTAAGTATACAGTATTTAATCACTCAGTGCTCGAAAAGATGGGTACAACTGATGCCACTTAAGAAAAATTGCTACAGCATAGAACCCAGAGATGTGGGTTCAGTCAACTGGAGATATTTACAAACTATACCTATGCCTTGAAGTTGATGTTATAAAGGACCTCTATTCTCCTTTTCCCCTGTGGTTCCTTTTTATGTTCTATATGTATCTTGTTTGAATTGTTGGAACCTTTGTTTCTTTCAGCTTGAACATTTAAGAGGGTAGTACCATAAAAATCACCATGAGACCATATCAAGGTAGAAATGATTCAGCCAGGGTGTCCAAAGTATAGTTACAGTTTCCTCTTCCATCTGGGAGACCCGAACTTTCTTATTAGAACAGAATTTAAACAAGATTCAGGTTTTCTTTTAAACAAATATCACTTAATTTATGGACATTTTTGCATAAAGTTTATCAAATGTATCTTTTTGCAGAAACTTCATGCTGGAGTCCCTTTTAGGAACTAAACTAACAACTATATGGTAATTTATTCTAAATTTTAATTGGCCATTGGGTATATACAAATATAGGTGTATATATCCAACTTCTTTCAAAATTTAGAAATAAATTTATTGAATGGAGTTCAAGGACAGAGTAGGACTATATAATACAAAAAAGCAATAGTAATAGAAAAAAGTAATATTGATATTACAGATTGGTAGTGTTAATACAGAGGGTACTTAATTTACAGAGGATACAAGGGTACTTTAAAAAGTTCATGGAGAAACAATTAAAAGAAAACACACATCTTCCCATGAACTTTCTGAAGCACCCTTGTACTCTTTACCCATACAATTATTGCTTCAATGATTGTGCTATGGAAGTTCTATTTAAAAGTCATGAGAGTAGAGGCAGGACAGGGCAGTGGTCTATAGAGAGCACTGAGATCCTTGTGTCCCAGTTTCAGTAGCAGCTAATTAGCTGTGTACAGTTCAGTTCAGCACTCTGGGCCTCACTGTACACATCAGTAAAATGGCAGGGCTGACTCGTGGTTCATCCTCTAGGGTGCCTCCTTCTAGTCCTGGCATCCTAAGATTCTTCCTCTCTGTCACCCTAGGTCCTCATCCTCTCAAACAATTGCCCTGGAATTCTTCTGTTGAGGAACATATTCAGTAACATGAGAAGCAATGCCTTCTCTTCTCCACTTATTTTTCTACATGCCATAGGCATTTTTAAAAGTAAAGATGGGCATTTTTAAAAGTAAAGACCACTAAAACCAGCTCTCCTTTATTGCAGATTACTATCTTTATCTTTCATTGCTGAGCATGGTTTTCCTTTTTATAGACTGAATTTTCTCTTGCTCAATATATATAATATATAATTATTTATATAATCAATTATATATGAGGGTACTTCAAAAAGTTTGTGGAAAAATAGAACTACACGATAATAGAATCCTTCCATAATCGGTGGTTTAAAAAATGAACCTAGAAACAAACACTCTGATAGCAAATCATATCTGATTTGTTTCTTCTTTTCTGAATATTCTGAAGAAGGAGAAATGTTGGTATCCACAGCTGCTTTTTAAACATGTGACTGGATATACAAGTCTATAACTACATTTTCATATAATGTGGTTCTAATTTGGACTTTGTCATGAGTTTGCACTGCCACACAGCTGGAATAGGTGATTGACTTCTACATTGGTCCTTTTTCTGTGAAGTATTACTCTCAGTTCAGAGCTGTGCCGTAGCCAAATGAAAACACGTCCCTTTTATTTAAGATAAGCCTATGAAGTGATTTCAGAAAGTATTATCTGTTTTTGCTTCTTAAAAAATTCTATGCAATACATTCTCCAACTTTTCATTCAGTGTCATAGAGATGACACATCTAGTATCTAGCAGTATTAATGTCTTAAAGGAAGTGCAGGTATGCATCATATCTTTGTCTTTTAAGGCCTGACAATTGATACATTTGGGTATGTGTAATTTTTATTATGGCTATAAAAAATTTTAAATGTAGGAAAAGTTGTATGAATAAAATTCAATGCTGTGTTAGGTGCACACAAGATTTTTGGTAATTAAAGGTAGTTCTAAGTAATTTTTAACATGTAATTCATTTTTCCCCTTAATCAGAATTCTTTCCTATATTAGATTTATACAGAGTAGATCATCTATATTTCTTCACTTACTTTGTAAGCATTATATGGATAAAATTTTTTATGTTTGTTTTTTTTCTCTCTCTCCCTCCCTCTCTTCCTCTGTCCCCCTTCCCCACTTTTCTTCCTCCCTACCTTCCTTTCTCCCTCCCAACCTTCCTTCCTTCTTTTTCAAAGAAAATCCAGAAAATCCAATCCTTAAATCAACTGCTTGATGAAGGAGGCAAAACAAAGACAGCCGGAGATAATGTGATTGGTGGAAAAAAGCTAAAGCAATGGCTGAGACCTTTTATTTTTTAGTTTTTTTTTTTTTTTCAATGAATGGGAAAAGAGACATAATTGCAGCTGATGTTAAACTTTCCACATTTGAAATTAGATTCCCTAGGTGGTATAATATATATTTCTTGAGTAATAATGTTGTTACAGAATTCCAATGTTATAGTGAAGTGTAATGAAAAACAAATTTAGGTATATGCTTTAACTACTGCTGCAAAAGAGACAAATCTGCCTTTGTGCAGGAAACCAGCTAAATTATCCTAGAGTTTTCACATTTAAAAATTGTATGAGAATACAAATCAGCTGAAATTGCCCTAGTTAGATAATCACTTGGAGGGGGACTTGGGAGGTAAGAAAGATGTTGCATTTTCTCAGGACTCTCCAAGGCCAGTTGAAAAGTCATACTGAAAAGGGTACAAACAGCTGTCTGCAGTTTTACCAATCCTGTGATTATGGTTACAATATGTTGTACCTGGATATTCCCAGATTTAAATTTGGCAGTGAAGGCTGGCTGCTTAGCTCAGTTGGTTGGAGCATGGTGCTGATAACACCACGGTCCAGTGTTTGATCCTGGCCCGCAATAAATAAATAAACAAACAAACAAATAAATAAATATTTGGCAATGAAAATTCCACAGATATCTCTGATAACTTTGAGCTCCAGATACCTTAAAAATAATAGATTGATGATTTCCTTTATTTCCTAGAAGAATTTATTTTATAAATACTTTGTTTACATTTTAGATTGTATTTGTCTTTAATTTAAAATGATGAATCTAGTTTGAATCAGCTGTTATTCGAAGCTATCATGCTTAAGCCATGTCAACAGCATTTATTTGTACTAATGCTAATATTTCCATCAAAATTTGCTTGTGGAACATATGCAGTTTTTAATTTTAAAATGTCAGTTCTTGAGATATACTGTATGAAGCTATTGTCAGCTTCTCTATTTCAAAATGCAATCAGCATATAACTATATTGATATTAGAAAATACTTGTTTTTTAAAAATATATTGATGTATGATAAAGATGATCTAATTTGTGAATGCATATGTGTGTGTGGTTACTTTTTATAATGTGAATAATGAATAATGAATTTACTCAAAATAAAACATAGGTTAATGAGATACCTGTGTTTGTGAAAAAAATTTTAAATACTTTCCTGCAGTTTTTATTCTATAATTAAAGAGTAAGTTCATTTTTACATAATGAATAAGAGAAGCATATTGATGTCAACAGTAAATTACTTGGGGGACAGTTACCCAGTGTGAGACTTTTTCATGGCATTTGTTTTTCTTTTGTGTTCCATATGGCCTCTTTCTGACTAATTTTAATGATTCTTAATACCCTTCATCAAAGAACAATCAGGTAAATAGAATTGTTCAACTACTTATTTTGTCCATAGTTAAAATTTGGTAGGTATGAGAAACTTGACAGTACCGGTTAAAGTAATTCAGCACATTCTTTGTGGATTTCATTTAACTGCTTTAATCATGTCTTCTACTAGCATCAGTAATGTGGAATTGAATATATTATGATCTAGGGAATGTGTGGTGCATAATGGGACATCCAAGCTCCATCAGTTTTTCCAGTACTTTTTTTTTTTTTTTTCCTTTTTTTTTGTCTTTTTTCGTGTCCGGCAACAGATCGCAACCCTCAGTGTCGCGCCCGTACCGGACTGGGACCGGCAACGGGATCGCAACCCTCGGTGTTGCGCCCGCACCTCGCTCAGCCAGTGAGCGGGAACCGGTCTGTATGTGGGATCCGAACCCTCGGCGGGAGCGCCGCCGCACTCCCAAGCGGCGCACTGTAGCAGTGCGCCACTGGGCCGGCCCCAGTTTTTCCAGTACTTTGATTCATATTCTGCATTGACTGTTACTTTGAATAATTTCAACTTATTTGTTAAATAAGAAGTTTAGCAGAGGTATAAGCTTTTATTTTCCCATCAGGCACATGGAAGAAGGAGAAAGTGATTTGACAGAAAAAAATCACTAGTACTAATAAAGTTCAGGAATGTAGAGAGGTCAATTGCAATCTTATTCCTAGGCACTAAATTATTAAAACAATCAAAATTTTGGAAGATTTTTTTTTCACAGAGCATGATAATTTCTAAAATCTTTGAAATATTTATTAAGATTATACTTCCAAGGACAGATATAGAAATGGAATAAAAAGTAAGTTGGTAACAGTTATGAATATCTACACATATCTCCATTTACACCAGAAACAAGATTGTTAAACTGAGAATTTTTACAAGAATATCACCTTATCAAATCAACCCATTAAAGTAGTTGTATGACAGAGAAAGATCTTCCTCCATCTGTAGCTGGAGGGAAAACCTCTCCTCCATATTTTTGTTGATTATTAAAATTTGTATTTTTAAGAGTAAGTTGTAGAATTTCACTCATTAGCATTACAACAAACAAAAATAGGCCTGTAGAGCTCAATTTTACTGCAAAAATGGAGATAGGACTAAAGGATTTTACTTGGTAGAGGTGAAATAAACAGCATATAGATTTTTTCTTCCACAACCTCATACACATTATTAAAATCATTTCTATTATTTGACCTCCTAAGTTTGGACATCTTATTCTGGAAGGAGGAGTCCAGTCTCTCTTGCAGTTAGTGAGTATATAAGAAATCTCTGAATTGAAATGAAACAGGCTCTTCAGCCTGAGTAGGAGTTTTAGAATGAGGATAAAATGAATTAGATTAATTCAATAGGCTGTTCTCAGTTGTTACATTATGTGTGCGTAAGAGTGTGTGGATGAGAGTGTCTGTGGAGGAACAATTTTTAAAACTTGACACAAATATAGTGAAGGATTGTATAATATTTAAATTTTTCCCCTTCAGTTGGAAACCTTGAATTCTGTGTGTATGTGAGGTAAGTTACATTTTTCATTGGTCTGCATTTTTTTCTCTATGCGTATGTACTTGGGAAATCTGAAACCGTGTATCTTTATCTTAGGAACTTCTTCAAGCAAATGTGGGAGAATGTTAAAAAGTATTTATTTTAAAAATAGAGAATACGGCCATTTTCTGCCTTAAAGGGTGATGTGTTAGATGTAGTTGTTACGCTGCTGTTGCTTTGCAATGTATGTGGCAGGAGGAAGGTAGGGGTTTGATCTGCATGCTATATGAATCCTTCAATAGTAATGAACCTTTTTATGACTGGGTTTTTCCTTACTTATTTCAGAGGGTGTTGTGTTCTCATAGACTTCTAGATTTCGTTTCTTAAAAGTGGGAAATTTGACTGAATTTTCTTTCATTCCTCTTTCAACTATTTTCCCACAAACAACCCTGACTAGTTGAACACAACCAAGTCACTTAAGAAGGTCACTGGGAGTTAGTTCTCTCTCTTTGTATCTCTTTTAGGCCCTAGAATTACTTAGTCCTTAACAAATGTCAGTTAATGCTCTTGGAAGGAATACAGGAATGAATGAAAGTTCAGATTTTGGAATGATAAAAAATCAATCTTTAGATAGCCTCTTAATATTATTATCTATTCATATTACTCTGATCTATATTAGTAATCAAGGTAACTAATCAATAAATTAATTTCAGGTATATTTAAACATCAGATAGCAAACAGATAAAAATCCAATTAGGCATTTAATCAACACAGTTGGCACTCCAAAATTAGTTAGCTCTATTCATGATTCTCTGAATTTACCCTAAAATATTTCCTTCTTTCTATGACAGAAAATGACAGTTTAAGAAAGTTTTAGGGGTATTTGCTGCTTTCCCTTTCACCTTGGGACAAAGTCCATGCTTATATTCTATTTAACTACAGTGGGTAACTGCAAGGTCAATACATGCTGCCTGTTTAGCTGGACCCCATCAGATGTTTTAGGTAGAAAGAAGGAACAGTGAAAAAGGCTTGGGGACTAGACTCAGAAGAAGCAGTCCTCTGACTCTGCCATTGCTGCACTGGAGGACCTTGGAGAAGTATTTTTATTATATATATATTAATTTTAAGTATATGTAATATATACATATATAATTTTTAATATATACATTCCTTTCTCAGTATCCACAGGGGATTTGTTCCAGGATCATCCCCCCATACCAAAATCTGCAAATGGTCAAGTCCTTATTTAAAATGGCATAGTTTGTCTGTTGCTTTGGTCTCCTTTTATGGGGAAGGGTCTAGTGCCAGCCCTCTCCAACCATACATCCAACAACAGATTATTATCCAGAATATACAAGGAACTCAACTTCACAGTAAAAAACCAAATTATCCAATTAAAAAATGGGCAAAGGAGCTGAATAGACATTTTTCAAAGGAAGACATACAAATAGCCAACAGGTACATGAAAAAATACTCAACATCACTAATCATTAAGGAAATGCAAATCAAAATCACATTGAGATATCATCTCACTGCAGCTAGACTGGCTATTATCAAAAAGACAGATTAGCAAATGCTGGCAAGGATGCAGATAAAAAGGGAACTCTTCTACACTGTTGGTGGGACTGTAAATTAGTGCAGCCATTATGGAAAACAGTATGGAGGTTTTTCAGACAACCTCAGATAGAGCTGCCATATGATCCAGCAATTCCACTGCTGGGTATATATCCAAAGGAATGGAAATCATCATGTTGAAGGGATATCTGCACTCCTGTGTTCATTGCAACACTTTACAATAGCCAAGATATGGAACCAACCTAAATGTCCATCAATGGATGCTGTACAAGGAAAATGTGGTATGTATACACAATGGAATACTACTCAGCCATAAAAAAGAATAAAGTTCTGCCATTTGTAGTAATGTGGATGAGCTTGGAGAAAATTATGTTAACTGAAATAAGCCAGGCACAAAAATACCGCATGTCCTCACTCATAAGTGGGAGCTAAGATAAAAAAAAAGAAAGAAAGATAAAAATGTTGAACCTTCAGAAGGAGAGAACAGACCTATATTACTAGAGGTGGGAAAGGATGATAGGGAGTAATTGGGTAAAGGACACAAAAAGTAATTGTGATTTGTAATGACGAACATGCTAATAATGATTTGATCATCACATACTGTACACAAATACTGATAGTCAACTCTGTACCCCATAAATATGTACAAATAATAATTTTTAAAACAAATAAAAATAAAAGGCATAGTTTTTGTATATAACCTATGCACATCTTCCTGTATACTTTAAATCATCTCTAGATTATTTATAATACCTAATACAATGTAAATGCTATGTAAATAGTTATATTGTGTTTTTAGAATTTTTGTTTTTTCATTATTTTTATTTTTAATTTTTTTTCCCTGAATATTTTTGATTCCCAGTTGGTTCAATCTGTGGATACAGAACCTGCAGATACAGAGGGCTGACTGTATGTATTTTTATGAAGAAATAGGCCCAGGAAGAGAAAAGTGCCTAGGGCCTGTGGAAGTCCTCATGTGGCCCTGCTTTTGGGTCCCTATTTCTTTCCTTTGTAAAATGAAGGTTTTGAACTGGATGATCTATGGTTCAGCTAGTACCTCTGCCAAGTGATTTGATGCACTGTGGACAACATGAGAATGGGCAACATCGAGGCAGATGTGTGATCAGGACTGATTATAGCTATTTCCCTCTAATTTTAGTCAATAAGAAATGATTTGTAATAGATTAAAATAAAATATTTATTTTGCACCTGAGAAAAGTAAGAGAGAGAGAGAGAGAGAGAGACATGGCTCAAGCAGAATGTGCACGTCTTTCTCCCAAAGGCTTCATCTTGAAATAGTGTTCTCATCTACTGTTTTTTTAAAGTCCAGATATGTGATCAACACAGAAAGGTAAAGATATTCCGCCCAGCTAGTCTTCAGTCAAATAACAAAGGCTCTTAGAAACAGGCTTAAAATACCAGATGGCACAAACATCTTCCCCAAATATGTATCAATTTAATACTTGTATTTATCTGAGAACAGCCCAAATTAGCCAAGGACAAAGGGGACACTCTCTTCTTTTGCCAGCCAGTGCCAATATCCTGTGTGGGTTCAACTACCTCAGATTCAGCATTTACTGTACCACTAAGTACTTATGCATGTCATGAGTCACAGGAGAGTAGGATTCACCGTGCTGCCCAGAAGGAGAAGCATCCTAGAGGTTTCTTCATAGGTCATGAGATGAAACGGCTGATTCACTTTGACAATGGGAGGCATAGAATAAGCAATAATTTCTGACGGGTTCCTGCCACTGTCTCAGCTCCTTTTTCATCAACTTCAGTCACTGCTCTTTGTAAAACCTGGAAAAAGAAATAATGTGGAAGACCATTTGTGTTGCAATGGAGAGGAGGGAATTAAGCCCCTTAAAATTCCTTACAGTGGTGCCATGCATAGGGCCATGCTCCTAGTGGTACAGGGCTCATCTATGTTAAGGGATGGTGTGGGGTTGCCCTGGAGACTGCCTTAGGAGTCTAAGACAATTCCAGGAGCCCCAAGAATCCAATGTGAGATATTGTGGAATATGTGAAATTCATGCTGGGCATAGATCCAGGAACCCTCTAGCTGGCCAATTCATGCACACATACTTCAAATAAATATGTATTGAGCATATACTTTGTGCTACTGATTCTTGAGCTGATCTCGTGCTCCTAAAAGGTTTTCACGCTGCCTACTGAGTGCTTTAACTTTCCTCTGGCAGGCAAAGGTGGGGCAAGGAGTGGTTAGCATTCTGTAGGGGCTTCCCAGCACCTGGAACTGCTTTGAGGCATTCCCTGGGGCGGGCCCAAGGGTCCCTGAAGCCTTCCTGAACTCTGCCTATATTCAGGCTGCTTGCTGTGTTTGGGAGGCCCTTTTGTTCAGGAATTAATGTAACATGAGTGATGTATCTACATAATTATTATAAGAGGAAATAATGAAAACATCAATGTAATAAATAACACCTGGAAATCCTATAGTTTCCTGGAGTAAAAATTTACTCCCCAGAGCAGAGGGAGGATATTTAATGGTTTACAATGTAAACTTTATGGTGGTGCTTTGAAGAAGAGCAGCACATTTCTTCAACTTTTCAGGTGATGACAGCAGAAACTCTTTCAGGTGCTGGTTTGCAGGATCATTATGTCTAATTGTCTCACCTTCCCTGAGATGGTAAGGTCTGACTGCAGGCCAAGGATACCCAACAGGGTCCTACTTAAGTGGATTCCATTTTTAATCTCACTTGGAATTGAAAATTGCAGTAGTATGGGAAAATATTAACCAAATCTCACTGCTAAGAAAGAATGTAGTAAGGTGTAGCTGCCATTTGGAAATGTATGGGAATATTTTCTTGGTTGTTAACGATGACTGAGGGTTAGTTACTACTGGTGATAGTGAACATGGGCCAGGAATGCTAACCCGGTCATGCAACACACACAATTGCTCTGGATAACAGACAATTTCCCTCAAAACCAAGAGCACTTCCATTGAGAAACACTGATGAGCTGAAGGGATTCAATGTGGAAGGTAACTAAACTGGTTCTAGTACGTGTAGGTTTAGAGATAGAACTAGGACCAAAAAGTACAAGTTATAGAGAAGTTACAGGTCAGAATGTAAAAAAATAATTTTAGCCATTTATGGATTGGACTCTGTAATGTCACTGGAAGAATTAAGAGAGACTGAAACTGTGGGCTATTTTGTAGGGATATTTTTGAGGGGATTTTTAGCTGAAGGTGGGCCAGATGATGTCTGAAGGTTTCTTTCACTCTACAGGTGGTGTAATTTCATGAGCTTTTCAAATTATATTCAAAATAGATTATGATGAAACTATAAAACAGTTCCATTTCAGGGGCAAATATCTCTTTGAGCATTGGGTGAGAAGAGGGAGAGAGCTCTACGTAAGATGAATTAGTTGAAAAGGTGTTTTTATAAATTAGCCTGAAAGTCTTAAAACATCCAATTTGGATGCTATTTCAAGTCTTTGGACTTTAAATCTTATTTTCTACTACAACTAGGTATTTCATCAAAGTTAAATGGTTTGCAAAAATATTTGCTGGTTTGGTGATATTTCATACTTAGGATTTGGCTGCTCAAGGGACCTTCTGGATGCCACTTTGTTTCATACACACCCATGCACAAGCACACCATGAACACAGAGGCCAATGTGGCAGAAGTGATGACATTTCTTGACCATCACTGCTGAGCATGGTTCTGAGAGAAAGCCCCCACAATGCTGAGGAGGCATCAGCATGTGAGCACAGGACCCGTTACACATGGATATGAGTCCTTGGGGTGTGTCCTGGCTGTCTGTAAGGCCCTCCAGGCTTTGTTTCCTGTACATCATGGGCATTTTAATGGCCTTGTACTGGTGCAGGTAGAAAGTGTTGGGTTCGGTGAAGACAGGGTCAAATGGGGTCAGCCATTTCCTTGAAGATAGCAACAACTCACTGCAGAAACCACCCTCCTTGAAAAGCATTGTTCTTGCTCAAGTAATAGAGGGGGAGAGTTCTATCGCCTTTTTTTCTCCAACTAGGAAAGGCAAGTCTTCTGGTGCCAGCTCTCTGTCACAGCAGCATCTACACCATGTCCAATACCCTGATAGAGAGGCAGGGCTGAGAAGAACCTGGATCAGGGTGTCAGGAGACCCTTGTTTGTTTGGCTTCTGCCATTATTGTGTGACCTTGATTAAGCCAGCCTCTCAGAGCTTCACAGACCCTTGCTCTGCCTGCTGCCTTGGTGCTTAGGATTATCAAATAATAAAAGTAGTTAATACATATTTAGTGTCTACTATTTGCCAAGCATAGTTGGACTCTACATTCATTATCTCATTTAGCCTCCAAACTCTATAGTAGGTGGGAGTGTCCCTATTTTCTATATTAAGAATCCAAGGACAGAGACTTTGTCACTTTGCCCCAGATCACAAAAATAGAGAATGAAAGAGCAAAGATACAATCCTAAATTTCTCAGATAATATGCTTTTTTAAAAAAATGACTACGTTGCTGCTTCCAAATGTCAGAAGGGAGCTGTGCAGAGGTGCTTTGAGAACTAATGACTACAAGGACTACCAGGGCTGGGGCTTTGAGTGGAAGTAGCTGGTACTGTTCAATCCACGTTTCTGTCTGTTTGTGAAACCTGAAAACATGTTCATAGAAAATCATTTAGCATTAACCATATGCTGGCCAAATGGAAGAAAAGGAAGAGACAGTCCTAGGGCCCTGTGGCTTTGTGAGAGCAGAACGTTATCAAAGTACCTTTGAACAAGATGTAATCCACAAGAATTAATTTGGTTTCAAGATTAATCTCATCAAAGAGTTTGGGAATTTTCCCCTGAGTCTCTTTGTTAATGTATTGATTCATGAGCCCTTTGGCCTGTGTGGCATTGTGAAAGTCTGTAGGCACACACTCTGTATCAAAATACCTCTTGGATAAATCAAAGAAGGCCTTTTTCGTACCAAAATCCTTGTGGATGAGGGCAGGCAGAGGTGTGGGCTCGGTCCCATTCAGGGCCTGCAGGTTGGAGGCTGCTCTTGACCTGGGCTCTGGTCTGCCCATGCAGCCCCCAGCATCATGCCTGCCATGGCCAAGGACATGCCAGGTGGGGAGAAACCCATGTTGCCATCGTGTCTCTTGGAGATCTTTCGCAGCAGGCTGAACCTGAAGTTCGAAGTGTTCTGGAGAGCTGCTGCCTACTGGCTTCCAACCAGGTCTACTCCTCCTCCTCCTCCTCCTCATCCTCCTCATCCTCTACGGGAGCCTGCATTTACCTACCAGTCTGGTTCTGAGGAGCCTGGGTCTCCAGTGTCTCCAGCCCTGCCTGGGCCTCTGGTGACTTGGGACCAGGGGACAAACTGGGCACCAGCCACACTTCCTCCAGGAGGATGGGGCACAGGAAGCTGGGCATGATGTGGTCAGCTGCAAAGGCCAAGGAGTCTGTTCCCTCAGTAGCAAGACTTCCTCTGGAGGAAAGAGGACAGAGGTTATTTCAATGCCTAATAAAACGTCTCCTCCTTGTGAGATGGTCAGCAATTATCAGTGACCCTGCCTCCTCCCTGCAGGGTGGGGCCCATCTCTAGGCTTCTGCAGCTTAGCCCTGCCTTTGGAGTAAGTAGGGGTTGCATTTGCTCACAGAGAAAGGGGCACTATTTCACAGAGCAAACTTCCTTCAATTTGCTCTGGGAGGAGCAGCAGAGGATGGGGTAAGAACAGGGCCTGGGGTTCTCAGGAGGTCCTCACAAAACTTTTACTGGTCTGCTTCATTCATTGCCCTTGATTGCAAACTAGGCTGCGGGCCCTTGGTCTGTGATGTGTTTGGCTGGGGATTTGCAGGGCCTGAGCAGCAATCAAAGCAAGGAAAAGAGAAAATGGGGGAGCTTCTCTGAATTTTTGCTCAAAATTCTCCGCCCCTGCACCTCTCTTACATAGTTCCTTATAGGTCTAATTCCTTCCTGTACCTGGAGCTCCCCAGGACAGAAGCAGGAGGCAAAGCTGAGGCACACAGCCTGGGGCTCACTCCACATGTGCAATCTAATCCAATCCTCACAGCCACCTGTGAGGTGTGGGCTAGCTCTCAGTGTCCCAGGTCACATGGTCTAGTGGAGCCAGACTTTCCACCCTGGTGGTGATGCTCCAACCCCATGCTCCTCACCACCAGCTGTCCCCACTTCTGCCACCTCTTCAGGATCTCTGCATCCTTGGACACAGAGCCTGGCCCCCAAGCACCTGCGTGTGGGCTGGGCTTTGCCACCTGGCTGTGTCTTGGTGTTCAGCCCACACCACCAGGCCTGTGTCACAGTGTCTGGCTGGGCAGGCCGCCATGATACCCCCTCTCCTTTATCCTCATTTTCTTCGGGCCCACTGCCCCTGGAGGGCCTGGGTGGGTCAGGACACCCAGCCCAGTGGGTGTAGGGGAGGGGGGCGACACAGGCCTCAAGATTGCTTCCATCAGCAGAGACCCTCATTTTGACCCAGGGCCACCTGCAGCAAAATGCGGTGACCAGTGAAGCTCCTAGGCCTCTTGTGCCTGATGTGGGAGCTGAGTCCTCATCTGTGCCTGGTACAAAACCACACCCAGCCCCAGGACTCGGTACATTGCTCCTTGTGTATGCTGAATGTCACCACAGAATTCTAGGCCTCACTCCTTGCAGCCCGAACAGCACTACCTTACAGAAACAATAAAATGCTGCTGCTGCATTTCCCAAATGTCACTGTTTAGGAAATCCTTTCCAATTCTAAATGGCAAACCAAAGTTCCATGGGTCACTCTAGTACTGTAAATGTTGGGTAAACACCTTCAGTGTACCAAGCGTTCCCCAGCTTCATGCCTTCGTCGTTGTTATGGACTGAAGCATTGTGTTGAAGCCCTAACCCACAATGTGGTGGCATTAGGAGTTGGGGCCTTGGGCAGGTAATGAGGTTTAGATGAGATCACAAGGATGGGGCCATCGTAAAAGGATGAGAGTGCTTAGAAGAAGAGAAACCAGAGCCTTCCCCTTTCTCTCCATGTGAGGACATAGCAAGAAGTCATCTTGCAAACCAAGAAGTGGTTCCACCAGAACTCAACAATACTGGCACTCTGATCCTGGACTTTCAGCTTCCAGAACTGTGAGAAATAAATGTCTGTTATTTAAGCCACTCTATGGTATTTTGTTATAGCAACCTGAGCTAAGACAATCATGTACCATATTTAGCACTACTTTGTAAATTAAGCCCATGGCAGAATACTCCTGAATTCAGAAGTACTTCTGTCTTTCACAGTTGTCAGGGAATTATCCCAGCACACCAGCTGGATGTCACCCCTTCCAAATGCTAATTCGTACCTTCCCTTCTTGACGCTCTTCCTTCAGTCTGCGGAGTGGCAGCCCAGGAATACATGGGTGCTCCTGCACCTGCTTGCTGGCTGATGCCATGTCTCTCCTGAGGTCTTTGTTTGTCTCCCGAATAGTACAGAAGCTGTATGCAGTGCAGGGGGTGCTCCTGGGACTAGGGAGCAGTGAAGCATGACGAGGACACATCTTCCTAACTAGAACCTGAGTGGTAAGAAACCAGCAGCTCACCTGCCCCTTCTGAGCCCTGGTGCAGTGTGCCTGGAACAGCAGCACTCCCTTCCTCCCCCAAGCCCTGGAAGATGGAGGCTTGCTCACCTGGGCAATGAATTGTGGTGGACGAAATATCAAGCCTTCAAAGCCTCCCTCCCCTGCCCTCCTCCCTGCAGAGGAGCCCTTTTTGTCTGCAGCACAACTCTCACTCCACCCCTGCCCCAAGCTTGGATGCACAGTCCCTGTGTAGTCTAGGGCTGAGACTCTGGGATGTCCAGATACCCACCCACTCACTTTGGTGCCCACTGAGAGGAAACAAGAACATCGTCTCTCCCCATCCCTCTCTAGTTAGACACTTTGAAGTTCTCCCTGTAATCCACTACCTCTTACCAGTGTGTGGCCTCTGGTACCTGGGAAGAGCAAAGACAAAGTTAAGCTTCGCAGCCCAAAGCCTTCAGCAAATATTTGCTGTTCCAAAGTGTGATCCCTGCCTCCCCACTTCCTCACCCCTGTGGGACTGTTGCTGATTAACATCCTGCTCAGAGATGATGGAGTTTCTGGAAAAACAGACTTAGAGGGAGGCTTCCCATATTCCCCAGCTCCTTCTGCAACCTTGAATATGGCTGAAATTCCACCATGAGAGCTGCTTCTGCTTTTCAACTCAAGGCTTTGCCCTAGTACGATTCAACTTCTGGGATGGGCTGTGGGGATTTCTCTTGAGTTACTCTGGGTGCTAGACACCTCATGAGAAACAAGGCCATGGCGGGTCTCATGGGTGCTTCCTGGGACCCCAACCCAGTACTGGGCCCTGTGTGTGGTTAGCAGGGGGTGTTTAAGACCTGCTCTCCTACCCCCCAAGCAACTGTCAGTACAGTGAGGGAGACAGGTAATCAATACAATGCAAAGCCTATTTCAAGATAAATTTATAACTTCCCAATCTTGCTGAACTCATGAGAATGAATCCTCAAGTACTTGAAATCAACGCTTGCACAGATCCTTTAAGACAAGATTCCTCAGACTTATCAGACTCCCCCTTTTTTTTAATGTGCCCCTTACTACCCTTGAAGTGAAATTTATGATTAGTATAACCTACCCACAAAATTAACAAAACAAAACACAATAATGCTCTATGTATAATATGAAGGTGAAGTAAAAGTAAATTATGAGAAAATAATGTGTCTTTGACTATGCAGATGCTCTGGCATAACTACACTGGAAGATGTAGGGCTGCCGGCAGATGCAGGGCAGTGTGAGAGTCTCTGTCGGTGCTGGCACTCCATAGTGTCGGCCATTCAGTACTACAACCAATATTACTACCAGTGATATGATTTTCTGAAATTGTAACTAATGCTTGGTAAAATTCCAGACAAAACAAAATTTAAATCTTCCACTGATTTATGTGGTAGTTGTCTTCATAGAAAATTTATTGCATAGTAAAACAGGGGAAATGGTGCATTTTTATATGAAATAAAACAGCCCTGGGACTGTGGAGGTCTAGGCTCAGATAAGTTTTGAATGGGTTTTTTGCTCAAGGGAACTTGAGATGGGACATTTGAGCCATGCGGGACCTGGGTCACTTCTTTAATGTGGTGGACTGTCCTGCATGTTCTGGTATGTCTGGCACCACTGACCCTCAATCATTGCTATGGTTTGGATGTGTCCCCCCAAAGTTCATGTGCTGGACACTTGGTTCCCAGTGCAGCAGTACTGAGAGGTGGGTGGTGATTGGGAGGTGATTAGGTCATGATGGCTCTGCCCTTGTGAATGGATTAACCCATTCATGGATTAATGGGTTATCACAAAAGTGGGTCTGTTATAAAAGCCCCCTTGCCAGGTGATGACCTGTGCCCCCTCTGACTGCAGAGTCCCCACCAGCAAGAAGACCCTCCCTGAATGCAGCTTCTCAGCCTTGGACTTCCCAGCCTCCAAAACTGTAAAAAAATAAATCTCTTTTCTTTATAAATTACCCAGTCTCAGGTATTCAATTATAGCAACAGAAAATGGACTAAGACAATCACTAAATGCCAGTAGTACTCCCCCAAACCTTTGTGAAAATCAGAAATGCCCCAACAAGTTACCAGATTGTTCCTTTTGGGCAGTACCTGCTCTGTGGGTAAGCAGTGCCTGAAGAGGTCAAAGTGAGGGATGCGAATGGGCTGGGCTGGGCTCCCTTCCCATCCACTTCAAGCTCTACAGCTGAGGGCTGCATGGCAGCTGGAGGCTTGTTAGCTCCAAGAGGCAGCAGCTGCTTCCTGCAGGCTGGGGGGAGTGTCTGCTTTGCCAAACATCTGAGCAGAAGCAACATGGAGCACAGTATTCACCAGGGGCTTCAGAAGTGCCATAAAAGTCATCATGGTACCTTTGGGAGGCTCTTAAAAGTGCTGCTGGGATTTCAGAAAGGGGTATTTATAAAGGAAGGCAGCAGAATGTATTAAAAAGCACATGAAAGCTGCAGTCAGGGCCCCTGGGCTTGGATCCCAGGTTCTCTACTCCCAATTCCTGTTGGACCTCTGTTGTAGCTGATGGACCTCTCTGAGCTTGCTTTTTCTCCTCTGTGAAATGGTCAGAACCAAGATTCTGGGCTACAAATAGCAGCACTGAGGAACCTGGAAGGGGAGGACAGTATTGTTTGTGAGGCTGTAAGCCTTGCCCCCCCCAGGAACTTCTGGCTCAGAAGTCCTCCTTGCTCTATGGGACATGATTCTTGTACTGCTCCCAGCAGGGGT